GTTGATGACTCCTAGAGTTAGGATCCGATGGGTGCTTCTGATCGGGGTCATGGTCAAGGACTACGGCTGGCTGAACCTTGCAATGGGTTTAGGGTTTCGGGTTTCGGGTTTAGGGTTTAGGGTTTAGGGTTTAGGGTAACCCTACCCCCCCACCGCCCAAACCCTTGAAACGCCCAAGCTGAACCCCAACCCCAACTCAGCAGCTCTACACCCCAAAACACCCTCAAACCCCACCCCAAATTTCCCAACCCTCAGCCCTAAACCCCTGGACCCTATGCACCCTATAAAATACTCGTAAACTCTATGAACCCTATAAACCCCTGAACCCTAAACCCTAAACCCTACAGTGCAGAACCCGGGAGGATGCGCCGCCCCCGCCGCCCCCGGAGCTTCCGAAAGTGCCCGAGCCGCCCAAGGACTTTGGAGAGAGGGCTTTGGAGGTGTTCTTGCTGAGGGTTGGGGTTTAGGGTTGTTTTTTTCGGGTTCAGGGTTTAGGTTTAGGGTTTAGGGTTTAGCGTTTAGGGTTTAGGGTTTAGTGTTTAGGGTTTAGTGTTTAGGGTTTAGGGTTTAGGGTCTAGGGTTTAGGTTAGGGTTCAGGGATACATCATCTTGTCCCTCACTGAAGAGGTTCCTTTGCTTGCAGTTCGGAGGTTTCGCGACCCAACCTAGTCAGGGTAAGGGGTGTGGCGTTTAGGGATTTCAGAGTTTCGGGTGGCTTTGGGATTTGCTGTTGAGGGTTCGGGGCGTAGGGGTTCAGGTGTTTAGGGTGTTTTTGCAAAGACCTCTTGGATGTTAGGGTTTCAGGCTATGCCCTCCATTCCCTACCCCTCCCACGCATTTGGAGAACTGACCATTTGTCATCAAGCTCTCTTCAAGGAGGGCCTGAGACTCCGAATTCGGCGCAGGGTGTGGAGCAGTTTGGGTTTGAGTGTTTCGACTAAGTTTTAGGGTTTAGGAGTTTAGTGTTGAGGGACGCGCCCGAAGAGTCGAGTCGACCCCAAACCCTGAGCCCCAAAATCCTAAGCCCTTACTTGACCCTAGTCCCTTCTAAGCCTTAGACCCTTGACCCGAGACCCTAAAACCGAGCGACAGGAGCTTGAAGAGAACGCGGCCGACATCACAGGCACTTTAGGGGGGACATGGCTGTAACTCTGGAGATTTGGGGCTTATAGGGCTTGTAAACCTCAAGCCCTATGCTACACGCGAATTTTGAGCCTTAGCTGGAAATAAAGTTGTGAGGATGATTGAGAGGTATGCGCACATCCACACCGTTCGACCCGAACCCTATAGTCCCAAAACCCTCAGGCTCCTTGGCGTGGCAACCAGCCCTTCCTCACCACCTAAGGCAAACAAAAAACCACTGAGTTGGTCAGTTGGTTCTTCTGAACCCTAATTAAACCCTAAACCCCAAACCCTAAACTAGCCCAGAGGGTACCAAACGGACACCTAGGCTAGATCATGCCCCCAGTGCTCCGTGCGTTGGTCGTGTGTTTGCTGTCCTTCGCTGGCAGGTCCTACGCTGTCGACGCAGGCTCTGCCAGAAGATGGTCTTGACTGACCCTAAACCCTAAACCGCCTAATGTGCCAGATGTGGGAGTGTAGGGTCTAGGCTTTCGGCTGAAAGGTTCAGCAATGCTACATGAAGAGGGGCAAGGTTGAAGCTTTCTTGTCTTCTGTCTGCGGGTGGCTAGCCCCAGCAGCATTCGCTTTCCACGGAAATCCTAGCCCAAACAACTTGCAGCAACAAATCTATGGGGCAAACCCTAAACCTCCCTTCAAAGGCACCCCCACCCTTAGCAACCTACAGGGTTAAGTTCTTCAGGCCGTGGTTAAAGATACCCCCTGCAGATTTTCGGACCAACAAAACATTAAACATCGTCAGAAAACTCCTAACCCCTAAACCCTAAACTCTGTGCAAACCCACCTTCATCGTTGAACCTAGGGCTTAGGGCTTATCGTGCTTTAGGGTTTAGGGATTATAGGGCTCTGGAGTTTTACTAGGGTTGGGGGGTCGCAGCAGGTCGGGTTCAACACGGAGGACACAACGCTGAACGTGATGCCGGCACACAGACGCTCGGACCTGGGGTGGGAGGGGAGGGCATGAGGGGCTTAGCCTCGACTTAGAATTTTGGACCAAGCCCAAACCCTGAACCCCACACCCTCAACCTTTGAACCCTAATTCTTAAAACCCTATAAACCCTAACAACCCCAACCCCCTGACCCTTATTCCCCTTATTCTCAATGGACGAAGCAGCAAAAACAAGCCCCGGAATTTTCCAAGCCCTATAGGGCCATGAACTGAAAGCTCTGCCGCGCTGATCCCAGGCGGCACCCTCCTGATGATGCTGACTGATGGTGGCATGCAGCGCCATGGCGTCATCACTGTGGGGTTCAACGGTACAGGGTATTCTGTAGAGGGCTAAGAGGGTTTAGGGTTCAAGGCTAGCGTTCAGGGGTTTCGGGGCCAAGGGGACAAGGCTTAGGGATTGTGGTAGGAATTTCGGGCTGAGTTAGGGTTGATTCCATGTGGGGGGGCGGGGGGGGTGGGGGGGGTTCTGCTTTTTGGGATCCTGTGGGGTGGTGATCCTTCTGGGCTTGCAAAACCCGGCTCAGGTACCTCTTAGCTGGCGCCCGTGCCAACGTGGGTATCAAGGCGGGGAGCAGTCTGCACAAGAGGATGGGAAGAGCTCCCGAAATCTGCCCATCCGCAAGCCCGAGATCTAGGGAGCGATAAGACCCCAAACCCGCAACCCCACCGGCATGCCCAAGAGACCCTCAAACCAGTCTCCGAGACCTCAGGGACTTCGGACCTGCAACCCTATCAGGCACTAGGAACAAACGAAAGCCCCAAAGACCGTAGATTTGGCTTTGAAAGGGTCTTGAGGACTTCAGGAGGGTTTCAGGAAAATTTCAGGAAGGGTTTCAAGGGCTTTCAAGAGGGATTTTCAAGGGTTTCAGGGGTTCTTAGGGTTTTTGAGCCGTTCGCCATCGAAGGCGGGCCGCTACCTCTTCGAGGTGAAGATCATCGAGGTCCTTGATCCACAGGACTCTCAAGGCCATCCTTGGGCCGAGGGTTGAGGGTCTTAGGGGGCTCTTGGCTTTGGAGCTGTAAGTTTAGGGTGTAGGGTTTGGGGTTTAGGGTTTAGGGTTTGGGGGCGTTTCCGGTTTGCCCCGCAATGTGAAGACTTCGATTCGAGTGGCTGGGGTTGAGATGATTTAGCTGCTTAAGCAGACTAAGAAAATTTCAAGCCCTCAGCTCCAAATTCAAGCCTTGACCCTAAACGGGTTTTTCCTCAAAGAAAAAGCTCAGGGCGGATCTAGGACCTCCTAGTACCCTAAGCCCTAACCCTAAACCCTAAACCCTCTGTAAACTGCGCATCGTCTGGGAGGCCCTCACTCCAGGGTGGTGCAGCCCAAGAACTTGCTTCGGTTAGGCCGGCAGAGGAAGGGGAAGGTGGCAGGGATTAGGGTTTAGGGTTTGGGTTTAGAGTTTAGGGTTTAGGGTTTGGGGTTTAGGGTTTAGGGTTTAGGGTTTAGGGTTGGTTTGGCTTCTGAGAGCTGGTCCTGGTGGCAGGCTTTAGGGTTTTGGGTTTTGAATTTGGGGTTCAGGGTTTAGGGTTTTGGGTTTTGGTGGTTGGCTTTTGTTGGAGAAGGCTGGAGGGTTTAGTATAGGCGTGTTTTCTTGACGGGTTCTAGGAATTGGGTTCGGGGTTCAGGGTTTAGGGTTTTGCGTGGATGCCCCTTAGCTACCCCAAAACACAAGCATCCTTCTTCAACTTCTACAGTGCATACTGTAGGGTTTCCGTCTCCACGAAGAGAGAAAAAGTTGCAATGGCCGGGCGAAACTGGAACCGTCGGACACATTCAGAAAATGTCTGCATCTGACGCTGTGCTGCTGTGCCCCTGAATGGGCAAGTCATAGCAGGAAACAGGAGTGAGCATTGTCAGCTCTAAACCCTAAACCCTAGGCAACTGGAGTCAGCTATTTTTTCGTGTTCAGGGTTGTGTGAGATTTCAAGTGTAGGGTGTCCTTTGGCCTGGCCCCATCGAAGCTCTGGATCCTAAACTGCAGCGTCCTAAGCCCCAAACTCCAGAGACCAAACGCCAAGCTCCAGAACCCTGTTCCCATCGAATCTCCTGATCCTAAACTCCAGAGCTCTAAGCCCTGAATCCTACGTATTGAGCTGTGGGCCGACCTCGGAGCAAGTTCTTAGGATGTAGTTTAGGATCAAGGGTTTTCGGGCTTTGGGATTCCAGATTGCCATGACTTGTTGCAGGCTTCGCCACTAGCAGTTCCAGCCTACTGCTGGGCGAAACAGAGGACGCTAAGTGTGGGGACTGCAGCCACAATGGAGAGTTCGTATTGCTGGTCTTCTTTGGGGTGTCCTACATATCACCACATGATGTAGGGACCCCCCCCAAAAAAACAAAATGTATAAAAACAAACACCTACAAAAAGGAGCTTCCTGACTCCTTCCCCTTCATGAAACTCTATGCACCACGACACTTCACGAGCTTTGCGCCAAGCCTCCTTTGGTCCATCCATACAAACACATGTACATATTGCAAACCCAAAGCTGGTTTACAGAGGGTCCATAGAGCTGATGGGGGAATTAGTCACGGACTTGGCCGAGGCGCATAGAAGGGCTTTCATATATATATATATATATATATATATATATATATATAGATCAAAAGGGGGTTGCAAGTATTCGATGGGTGGGAGTTAGCTTCTGCGGCTCGCCCAGACTGAAAGCTGGGACTATGCAAAGGATGTGCATGTTTAGTCCCTTTGTGGGGTCGCTGTCAAGCTTGACCCGGGTTCAGGGTTTAGGGGTTTCGGGTTCTACCCTAACCAGGCTCAGAGAGAGAACGATGTGCAACGAGACAAAGTTCTCCTTGAGCCGAATCCTGGCTCTGGGTGCCCTCACCTCGGAGTTTGTAGTAGGCGTGGACGCGCACAGCTGACAGATCCAGGAGCCTAACAGGCCCATTTCTGAATGCTGACTTTCGCCAGCGCTGTCGCTGATGGAAGGATTGGCAGGACTCTGGACCTAAGAAGCCGACCTGTCAGAAGACCTTTTTCCGAGTTTGGGCTTCCACAAGGTGCAGCTCGATCTTGGCTGGCTGCAGTTGCAGCTGGTGTGGCAAGGTTCGGAAGCGCTTCCTCTAAGCTCACCCGTAGGTGCAAACCTGCTGTCAGGGGGCCCGATGAGAGGGACTTGCAGCTTGACGGCCGCGGCGCGAAGGCTCTCCGCTCCCTGGCTTGGAGTTCCTCAGCTCTTGAAGTGCCGCAGAGGAAGAAGCAAAGTAGAGAGGCAGTGAAGAGGGCTGCGCTCCGGAGGTTGAGGGACCATGCGGCCAGCAAGGGCGGGCGATGTATCTCTGTGGAGTACACGAACAGCAAGACGAAGGTCCAGTGGGAGTGCGAATTCGGGCACAGGTGGCAGGCTACACCGGACAATGTGCTGCATCGGGGGTCCTGGTGTCGTCGCTGCGGCATCAACAAGCAAAGCCTCAGCTTGCACCAACTCAAAGAGCACGCGAGGACAAAAGGTGGCAGGTGCTTGTGTGACCACTACGGGAACGCTCGGACTAAGGTTCGCTGGCAGTGCAAGCTGGGACACACCTGGGAGGCCACAGCAAACATGGTTCTGAACCAAGGGACCTGGTGCCCCGAGTGCGCTCGCACAACGAAATCACCATTTGATGAACTTGCAGGAGCATGCCGCCGCCCGTGGTGGCAAATGCTTGGCTACTGAATATGTTGGCATGAAGGCGAAAGTTCCGTGGCAGTGCGACAAAGGCCACACTTTGCGTGCGAGAGCAGACAGCGTGCTGAACCACAACTCCTGGTGCCCGGCCTGCTCGAAGAACGCACCCTTGGGATTGGAGCGACTGCGGAGCCACGCGGCCCACCTTGGTGGAGAGTGCCTGGCCGAGGACTACAAGAACAACCGCATCAAGGTGCGATGGAAATGCAGCTCTGGCCATATATGGCGAGCAACTGCGAGCAATGTCATCCACAATGGCACCTGGTGCCCCGAGTGCCAGAAGATCGGCCTGGCACGTCTTCAGGGACGCGCCGGGTCGTTGGGCGGGAGGTGCCTGGCCAAGAAGTATAGCAACCGTGAAGCGAAAGTTCTTTGGGAATGCCAGCTTGGCCACAGGTGGAAAGCCAGCGCCAGGAGCATCCTTTGTCAGAAGACCTGGTGCCCTCAATGTGCAGTCAGTGCATGGAAGACGGAGGCCGAGATCCGCAGCATTTTGGAAGCCATCTTCGATCCCGCAAGGTTTGAGTCGTCCTATCCAAAATTTCTGGGAGGTCTGCAGCTGGACGGGTACTGCTCCAGGCTGTCCTTGGCTTTTGAGTACCAGGGGGAGCAGCACTTCGATCCTGACAACTACTTCCATTTCGGAGACCGCTCAAGCTTTCAGAGCCAGCTGGAGAGGGATGACAGGAAGCGTCAGCTTTGCGAAGAGGCCGGCGTGCGACTGGTGCTGGTGCCGTGTTTTGCTAACGACAAGCGCCTTTTTGTGCTCACGGCTCTGCTTCAGTGGTTCTCCATCGCTCAGATCACGGCCCCGATGTTGGCGCTGCCAAGAAGTGCCTGAGCCAAACACGGTATTGAAGAGGCTTGCTATTGTCGGGCCGGGCAGCGTCAGTCATAATTAGCGTCTTTGTCCAGAATTCGGTGCAAATCACGCAGGGCCCCCATGTGGCAAGGAGCATCTACACGTGAATCCCAATGTTTGGAGGCCACAGCGCTACTTCTTCAGCCTTTCTTCAGCCTTTTGACTTCAACGTCCTTTGTTCAGGTAGCAACTAATATCCTTTATATAAGACCCCAAAGGGATAATTGAAGATTCACGTGCTTAAGTCTTAAAATGAAACTCTAAGCAGTCCTCCACTGCCACATTTCTAGATGCTGCCGTGGTTCCCTTCGTCCCGGCCAGCCACGAACTTTGGCAGAACACGCCACCAGAAATGCTCAGCTGAGGTCTTCTAGAGCCCGTGTGCCCTATGTCAAAAGCAAGGGGATTCTTCAGGAAAAGGAGCTAGATGGTTTAGGTGTTTTAGGTGGTTCGAGAAAGTCTCTGCAGAGGGCTACTAGGATTGCATCGTGGGCTCAACCCTCAACCCAAAACCCTGAACCTCCTGTGTTAGGGTTTTGGGTTCCGAACTGGGGTCTGATTGGAGCGCAGAGGCTAGGGGTTTGCAATCTAGCTTAAGTCTTAGGTCTGCCAGGGCGTTAAAAGTATGGGTTTTTCGTTTATGGACATCAGGCGTTTTTATATACCTTCAAGGGTTGTTACATTATTTCGGTTATATTGTTTCGAAAAAAGGCGGTGACAAGGTGTTTAGGGTTCAGGGTTCAGCTGAGGTTGTAGACGGCTTGAGGAGTTCAGCTAAAGGGTTTCGGGAATCGGGTTGGCCTCATGTTTTGTAAAGTTTAGGTCGAGCTTCAGGGTTTAGGGAGTTTTGGGTCAGGGTCGGGTCTTGGGTTTAGGTTTTAGAGTTTCGGTTTTTTTTGGGTTTAGGGTTCCCAGCGCCCTTGGCTGAAGGACTCCGTGTGCTTTGACTCGGAGGGCTTCTTCACACAGAGCAAGACCGCACATGCGATGAGGGTTTGTTTAGGGTTTTGGATTTGGGTTTAGGGCGGCTTCACCTTATTTTTAAGGGATTCTGCTGAAAAAAGGGACCTTCGTACCCTAAGTAGAGTGAAAAGAGGCCCTGCAACATCCCCCAGCGCCCCTCAGATGGGATGTTTCTTCTAGACCCTCACTCAGTTAGCGTCAGGAGAATCCTAAACCCTAAGCCCGACTAACCGATGATAGCATTTTCCGAATTCCTTTTCGTAAAACCCCATGTAACGGTCATTTCCGAGTTCAGGGTTTTCGGCTTCAGACCCCAGTTCTGGTTTGAATTGAATTATGGATAAGGTTAAGGATATGATTATTGGTTATGATCTGGTTATAGAAGGGAGAAGGTCATGGTGCTGGTTATTGGTTCTGGTTTAGGGTTTGTGATGTGAGGTTGGTCTTAGGATACTGTTTTAGAAATACGTAGGGCAGAAGCGTTGGGTGGGGGTATTGAGTGTGAGGTCTGGGGGAAGGGCGGTGCTTCGGATTTTGTTTTGTGCTTTGGGGTTTGGTGTTGTCTTGGGGCCCGAACCTTGAACCTGAAAGTCGTGAAAGTTAGGGTTTAGGTTTGTGGGTTTAAAGATCTGAAACCCCGAAACCCTAACCCCAGCAGAAGCAGCGAGGGCCACTTCAAACCCCTCGACCTACACCCTAAACCCTAGTGAAACCCGGCACTGTAGAAAGGCGACGCTGACGTCGACAGACCTGGATTTGCCGCGAACACCTCTGTGGAGTTCGTGTGGGATGGTTTTCGTGCCGCCCTGCTGAAGTTTGAGCCGGTCTGGCGCATCCTCATGCTGCAGCTCTTGGATTTCTTGGTGCGCGGCTTGAACTTGGAAGAAGATATCCTCGGGCGGAAGGTTCACGAGCTTTTCGTGTGGTTGTCCGAAGATTGAGGTCATCAAACTGCCACTGCCGCAGTTTGCTGCACACGTGAGCACGCTGCTGCAGAGTGCCTAAACCTTACAACCCTAAACTCTAAACCCTAAACCCCAAACCCGAAACCTTATAGATGGGCAAACCTCAATCCGACGCCAATTGCTACGACTCGTGAAAGCTAGGCGCAGACCGCAAGAACCCAAAGCCCTTGAGCCCTCATTAGCATGACCCTCAACCTTATGACCCCTCAACCTCAAGTCCTCAACTCCAAAGCCCTTAAACTAAACCTTAAATTAAATCCCTAAGTCCCAAATCCTCAGCCGGAACCGAGGGTTTAGGGTTTCGCGTCACCCAAGTTTGTCCTGGAGGACCCGCGTCCAGGCAACCCAGCGTTTCGGGCGAGACCAGGCTCCCGCTTTGCTTGAGTTTCGACTGCCTACGTGCAGAGTATGGGAACTATAGGTCGGCCCTTTTGGGATATGAGGGGGGGGGACCCTAAACCCGAAGTCCTACACCCCTTTCTGATACAGCTTCTCTTCTTGGCCTTAAGAGGATCGTGCTTAGGAGTTGTTTTTCAGAGGCTTTGAAGGGCCATCCCAGGGAACTAGGGAAGAATGGCTCAGGGTTTAGGGTTTAGGTTTAGAGGTTAGGGTTTAGGGTTTAGGGTTTAGGGTTTAGGGGGTGGATGCGGGGAACAGCGGGTTTCAGAGGTCCTTGGCTTGCTCTTGAACCTCGACGCGGGGAGCGCCAATGCCTTCGCCCCGAGGGGGTTCGGGCTTTTGGGTTTTTTTTTTCAGAATAGGGTTTAAATAGGGTTTAGGGTTTCGGGGTTTCGGGTTTAGGGTTTCAGGTTTTTTGTGGCTTTGGTGGTTTTAGGTGTTTGAAACTGGGGTGTTGAGGGCTTCGGGGTCTGTGTTTTTTTGAGGGCCTGTGCGGGCTCTTGGTTTTTCTTTCGGGGTGTTGAGGTCTTCAGGAGCTTTTGTGGCCTTTGGGAGGTTGGGTAAGAGTTTAAGGACCCCCCCCATTACAACTTAGAGAGCTTCCCCTAGTCCAGGGACATTGGGGTGTCTGGCGGAGTTGGGCGTAGGATTCAAGGCTTTTAGGCTTTTTTGCAAGGGTTACACGGTTTAGGATTTCATGTGCGGCACGGAAAGGGAAGAGAGGCCAGCAGCACAAGAAGAAGCTGGCGTGGAGGGTTGTGCGAAATTCAACAAATTAGTCTAGTCTTGCTTTTCTGGCAGGGACAATATATTTTTGGGCTTTAGGAGGCTTTTTTTTCGGTTTAGGCTGTACTGAGTGTAGGGCTATGCCTGGAGTTCGCGGTTCCTAACCTACGAACTTGTAGGCCTTTTCAACGTAGTCGTAGGTTTCTGGTTTGTGCAGTTGGAAGTCACAACCCTAAACCCTGCACCTCAAACCCTAAACCCGATGCCAATGGTTTGTGCCCCAACCCCGCCTAACCTGCTTGCAGCTCTTTGAGTTGAGGGTTGAGGGTGTTCTCGGCACCTATGACCCCAATTATTCAATTCCAACTGCACTTACAAACCCCCTAAGTCCCCTAAGTAGGTTCTAGGTAGACTTACAAGTGGGGTTATAAGTACCCATGAACCTCCAAGTTGAGACAGGCGAATCCCCCCCGCTCCCCTCGCCTTGGAGCCGTCAAGCCCAAACTGTTCAAGCTTAGCCTCCCGTGGAAAAGGCGGTCACCGGATAACCTCCTGATCCGATGGCACATAAGGGCCTGTTTATGACATTGCTTTGCGTATTTTGATATGGGGATGAGTCATGGTTAATACAAGGGGATAAAGTTTGTACCAAGCGGAGCTCATCTTCATGGGCATTTTAGGTTTGATTGCTCAGAGGAGCAAGGCGTCGAAGGTTTTACGAAATTCAGGTCTCTGCTAGCCAGGTTTGTTAAGGTGATTCCGCGAGCTACGCTTTCAGTACTTTCTTGGGTATAAGCTTCTTCTTTGTTTATGTCTTAGACATTCTATTTTCAGCTGTATATCTATGGGCTTCAATGGGCCTAAGCCCACACGTGCCTGGAGGCCAACACGGTGAGCCTCTTCCGGGACGGCATGAGGGCCGCCGCGGCTGCAATATCTTGATAGGGCTTAGGGCTTAGGGTTTAGGGTTTGGGGTTACGGTTTGGGGTTTAGGGTTTAGGGTTTAGGGTTTAGGGGGGGTGGGTGGGAGGATGATGGGGGGTTCCGAGCTGCCGGAAGGACAAGGAGTCTTTTGACTGAGGCTCTCGCAGATTCAGGGCTCGGGTCTGTCTGCTGGTACGGGCCTTCAGGGGCGACGGAGGAAGGGCGTGTTTGGCAAAAACCCTAAACCCCTCAACGCCTAAACCCCTAAACTCTAAAACCCTAAAAAACCATGTAATCCTCTGGCCCCCCAGGCTGCCGGAATCAGCTTCTCATATGCGGTGGCAGAGGGGGTTGCAGGGCGAAGGCTGTGTAGGCTTTGCGGAGTCGGGATATTTGGGGCATGGGTTTGTATTACCTAAACCCTGAACCCTAAAGCCTGAACCCTAAACCCTAAACCCTGAACCCTAAACCCTAAACCTGGTGAGAGAGACAGGCGAAGCCGAGCCAAGATGGGCACGGGATGTCTGAAGTGAGTGCAGCTACTTTGTGAAGGTTCACGTGTTGCTTCTACCTTGAAAGCCGGTGGACGGGTTTCGGGCTCAGGGTTTAGGGTTTAGGGTTGTGGTTTCCTATTTTGGGAGTGTAATCAGTAGCCTCTTGGTCTGGGTAACAAGGCTTTTAAGGTAAAGCCCTCTTCTAACTACTGATTGCCGCAAACCCTACTTCTAACCCGCCTAAACTACCCGTGAACCTCCAGTATCAGGGTCGGGCTTCTGTTCCTGGAATGCAAAAGGGCGTTTCGGGTTATTAGGGGCTTGGCTTTGGCCCTAAACCCGAACCCTAAACCCTAAACCCTAAACCCTCCAAAGCCAAATCCCTCCATACGCATGGCCCCGCAAACACCTCCGAGGTCTCCCAGCCGCTGCCGCTGCCGGAGGCTTGCAACTCCCTGAGCAATTTCGTTTGGGGTTTAGGGTTTAGGGTTTAGGGTTTAGGGTTTAGGGTTTAGGGTTTAGGGGTTAGGGGTTAGGGTTTAGGGTTTAGGGTTTAGGGTTTAGGGACTATAGGGGCTTGTAGGGGTTTTGATAGGGTTTATGGGGTTATAGGTTTTTTACAGTGTTTTTAGGGATAATAGCGTTTATAGGGCTTACAGGAGATTGTAGGGATTATAGGGTTTAGTATGGTAGGGGTTTATACGGATTACAGGGTTCCATTGGGGTTTATAGGGGTTATAGGAGTTTATAGGAACTAATAGGGCTGATTGGGTTTGTATTGTTTGCTAAATTTCGGGCTTTAGGGGTTTAGGGGGTTTGGCTTGAAGGTGCAGGGCTTTATTAGGGTTTATGCTTTAGAGCTTTAGGCTTCAGGGCTTTAGGCTTTAGGGCTTGAGGGTATAGGGGTTCAGGGGTCAGTGGTTTATAAGGATTAGGGTTTAGGGGTTCAGGGTTCAGGTCCCAATCTAAAGGCAGAGCTTCTGGCTGCCAGTAGAAAGAGCATTGTTCTGTTCAAAGGCTTGCTCATCCATCAGCCTTCTGAAGCGTCACATTATAAGCCCTATGGACCCCAAACCATCAAGCCCTAAACTTTACCCCAAGAATCTTAACCTAGTCTAGGGTCTTAGGGCTTAGCCCTCCCAGCCAAAATGTCGCAGGCGCTCAAGGGCAAGACGCTCTTCCCGGCGGTGACTTTCCGGTGCGCTGGAAGGGATGTGATCGTATTAAGAGTGGATTGGTTCACAAAAAGACATATTTTTGGGCGAGTTAGCTTCTGCCACCTTCTACTTAGGGTTTTGGTTTTTTTGGGGTTTATACCAGGTCCCGTCTTGTTTCGCAAGAATCAAGCCCAAGAACGTTCTTGGGGATGGCCACAGGTACATCTCCTACCAAGGCCATAAACCCTAAAACCTAAGCCCGCAATCTTCAACCCCCAAGCCTAGCTGAGTGCCTCCAGGAACGTCACCCTCAGCTTCAACTTTGGCCCTACGCCAAAGTCGTGCACCGAGACGGGATTGGGGTAAGCTAGAGTTTGGCATCTGAGGCTTAGGGTCTTAGGGTTCAGGTTTTAGGGTTTTTGTGAAAAGTTCACTGTGGCTTTAGTGGATCTTCAGAAGACCCTTTAAGCCCCTAAGCTCTGACCCCTCAATCTTTAAGGTCCGAACCTTCAAACCACATGTAAACCCTAAAGTCTGACTCTCAACCCTTCACCCAAAACCCTCACCCCTAAACACAAGGTCCTTAAACCTTATCTGGGAGCTCTGAATCCAACGCATACACGGACCACCCTGCTTAGGGCATATGGTTTAGGGTCTAGGGTTTTGGTAAAATCCCCACATCCCTGTCGGAGCCCCAAAACCCAGCTGCAACCGAACTCATCTCCGGTAAAAGCTCCTCACAGTCCATGGCGCGAAGCCCAGTCAAGGGCAGCTTCATGGTTGAGGGTTTAAGGTTTAGGGTTTAGGGTTTAAGGTTTGGGGTTATGGCCATGGGCCCTTCATATGGTCCCTTACCTTCTTTACAGGCTTGTGATGTAAGGGCCCTTGGGTTTGATAATCGATTATATAAGGCCCATACGAAGGGACCATGTAACTACCCTGAGATGCAGCCGGCAGACGCGCAGTTCCCTTTCAGGACGGCGCTTCCCTTCAAGTGCCACATGCTGGGCCAGGCTGCCGCGAAGGACCTTTCCAGCGACCCGTTATGAGGGACCTTAAATTTAGGGGGTATTTAGGGGCTACTTAGGTATAGAGGGGTTATATAAGGTATATATAGAAAGGGGAATAAAAATAAGGATCTCTTCTCGGGGTCCCTCCTTATAGCCCTTAAAAAAGCCCTAAACACGACCAAGCCTCGAGCCCTAGTTCTCGCAGTGATTCGAGGGTTTCGAGTTCAGGGGTTGATTGAGGGTTTAGGGACCTTTTAGCTTTTAGGACCCCGTAGAGGAAAAGTTCAGGATTTAGGGCTCCCTTACGTTTTCCCCTTAAACACATCATCATCATCATCATCATCATCATCATCATCATCATCATCATCATCATCATCATCATCTTGCATTTCTACGAATACTCAAACCCAAGAAGGAACAAACATGATCATGCTGAATAGTATCCCAAACAATGGTGCAGTTGAGGGTTTAGGGTTGAGGGTTTAGGGTTTAGGGTTTAGTGCTACAGTTTCCGATTTTGAGGGGTATAGTACACAGGGTGTTTAGGGTCTAGGGGCCGGCCCCCCTCCTGGCGTGCGAGGACACGGAAGTCGTGGCCCCGCGCCAGCCCAAGGATGGCAAGTTCGAGGCAACCCCCACCCAAGCCCCCTTGAGGTGTTAGGGGTTTAGGGGTTTAGGGGCTTGGGTTTTTAGGGGTTTAGGGGTTTAGAGGTTTAGGGTTTAGGGGTTTAGGGGTTTAGGGTTTAGGGCGTGTAGGGTTTGGGGTTTGGAGTGTGTGGCTGAAGGTGGCTGTTCGAAGGGCGCAGGGTTCAGGGTTCAGGGCTTAGGGGCATCAGTACGGTTCCGTCACGGTGTCCACCTTTGTCTCTTGCTTGAACTGCGCCTTCGTGGCGCGAAGCCCTGAACCCCCAAACGTTTTCGACCCCGCAAACCTCCACACCTTCCAGTTTCAAGTCCTGATCGCGACCCAAGAGGACCGCTTGTGGGTTTACACCTTCCTGATGCCCCAAACCCAGAACCTTTTTTGCTCCTAAACTCTATAAACCTCAGACTCAGAACCCCCAGAACCCTGGAACCCTGGAACCCTGAACCGGGAACCGACCTGCCCACAACCCCCTAGAGCCCTCTTGAGACCAACAGCTTGAACACGGTGAAAGGCTCGTGACGTAGAGGCTAAGGGCTCATTCTTGGGCGTTTTGTAGACCACACCTTAAGGCCTAAACCTTAAACCCGTAAATCCTAAACCAGAGCTTTAGGGCTCGCTAAGTAGGGTTTAGGAGGTTTTGGTGGTTCCCTATCCTACACCCTAGACCCTAGATCCTAGATCCTAGACCCTAAACCCTAAACCCTAAACCCCAAACCCCAAACCCTAAACCCTAAACCCTAAACCCTAACCCCAAACTCTAAACCCTGAACTGGTAGATTGTGCCAGGTCATCTTCCCGATCTTGCTGCCGGATGAGGGCTCCTTTGACTGGGCCACTCGGGCTGAGATAGTTTAGGCTTTAGGGTTTAGGGTTTAGGGTTTAGGGCTTAGGGCTTAGGGTTTAGGGTTTATGGTTTAGGGTTTGGGGTTTGGGGTTTAGGGTTAGGCAATGGCTTAGAGTGTTTGGGTTTGGGGGTTTGAGATTTAGGGTTTGGGCTTTAGTGGCTGAGGGTTTGGGGTTTAGTGGCTTAGGGTTTGGGGTTTAGTGGCTTACGGTTTGGGGTTTAGTGGCTTGGGGTTTGGGGTTTTGGGGTTTAGGGTTTCAAAAGTTGTGTCATCCTGTACCACCCCCACCCACCCAAACCCAACAGCCCCCTCCCCCCCCCCCTCCCTGCTCAAAATGGCCCGAGTTATGGCGTATGGGCGCAAAGCTCTTGGAGGGTTCGTTTCTTTAAATTTTGTGTGAGGGGTTTAGGTACAAGATGGAAGGTTTTTGGGTTAAGGGGCTAGGTCTTCTGACCTCTTCTTAGCTCCCCTGCCGCTGCCAAACAGTTGCTCAGGTGGACCTTTTCCTCCAGCAGCATCCGGACTTCACGGTGCCTGGCCCAGGGTTTAGGGTTTTAGGGTTCAGGGTTCCGGGTTTAGGGTTTAGGGGGGTACAGTGAAGGAATTTCATTGTTTCCAGTAGGTTTGTGCAGGGCACGATGAGACGGGGCCATTCCACATTATGGGATGTTCTAACCTGCAAACAGGGACAGAGGCCTAGACCGGCGAGACATGTGTACGCAGCTATATACATATATACATATCTTCATATTCCAATATGCTTGGTTTCTTATGTGCCTTGTTTGTTGTTTCTTCGCTTGTGTTTATATTTAGTATCTGCATAGTTCAAGGTTCCCTTATCAAGAAAAACCCAGACCCAAACAGGGTGCACTTATGATGATATGCTTCCTGGGCTACCAAGTCAATGCTATGACTTGAAGCCAAATTCTCGCGTACTGGCTCCTGATGTGAAATGGGGCTCAGGGGCTGTGGGACAAGAACTTGCAAACGTACGGGAAATTTTGCATACGCCCTGTTTGGGCCCTTTTGAAGCCTCAGAGGCTCCATATAAGCTCCATAAGAAGCCCTCAAACCTTTCTAAGCACCAGGTAAGCGCCCCCAGAGGAAGCCCGAAAACTCAAGGTCCCTCTCCCTAGACCCAAACCCCATAACGTAAATCCGAAACCCTAAACCTCATAACATGGGTTGCTTGGCAAGTTAAGAGGGCTTCGCGGGCCCAAAATGCAACAAATTGCAAAGCAGGAGCTGAGCGACCGAATGATCCTGGAGTGGCTTGGAGCATTAGGGTTTAGGGTTTAGGGCCTAATTAGGGTTTAGGGTTTAGGGCTTAGCGTTTTCGGACCCGGAGCTCGAAAAACGTGAAGCCAACATCGGTTGAGGTGTGGGTTCATTTAAGGCTTTGGTTCTCTCCACGCGCCCCCCCCTGTTCGTTTGAGCTTTTCAATGGGGCGGTTGGGGTGCTTTCGCATCAGTTCGGTCAGGCATTCCAACATGGATAAGAAGAAGGACGTTCACCAGCCTTTAAGACCCTAAAAACTCCGAAAAGCCTCCACACCCTAGACCCTAAACCCATATTACCTTTTGCTAGGCTGGCCCACTATCCATGGTTGGGAGTTCACCCTTGGGCCTCAGAATTTCGTGTTTGCTTCTCCAGAAGTATCGTAGAAGCCTTATAAACCCTACACTTAGACTTCGTCACTGCTAAGCCCCGCAAGCCCTAAACTCCAGCCCGCCAATCCTCAACCCCAAACCCAAAACCCTAATAAGCCCCAAGCCCTAAGTTACTAAGCCCTAAACCCTAAACCCTAAACCCGCAACCCTAAACCCGCAACCACCAACACAAACCAGCACCCAGTGCCGCCCAGTTGGTGCGAGAAGAGCGGCATCAGCCGGAATCGCGGCTACCGATGGAGGCCAGGGGAAAGGCTACACACAAGAAGCTCAGCAAACCCTTAAGCCCCTAAGATTTTAGGGCCAAAGCTTTATAGGGCCTAAGGCTTTGAGAACCCGGCACCTGAAGCCTACGCCAAACAACTGTGTAAACTTAAGCTTCAAGTGCCGCCAAACCCTAAGCTCTAGAACGCGTAAGCACTAAAACCCGAGGTGAGGAGGACCTACAGGGTGGGGCCCCCTTACTATACTAACTGTAGTTAAGGGACTTATAACCTAACTTAGGGTCCTTATAACCCAATTTAGGGCCCCACCCTGTAGAGCCTCCATGCCCATGCCCAAACGCTCAACCCTAGAGCCCTGAACCGACATCAACCACATGGAATCCTGAACGGGGGGCCTTGCTCAGAAAGTGAGGGTTGAAGGGTTCAAGGGTCGAAAGGGATTAGTTAGGGGTTTAATGGTTTATAATGCTTAGGGGCTTATTAGGGCTTATATGGGTTTATAAGGATTTAAAGGTTCAAGGGTCTAGGGTTTGCACAGATACATTGTTTCATCCGGGTTCTTTTAAGGTTCTAAGGGTTCAAGGGTTAAGGGTTTAGGGCTGTCCGCCAGAGGACCTCGAACGATCGGCCGGACATGCAGATGAACGTGCCCGAGCTGGACAACCTCAGCATCCGAAGAGCGCTCAGGACGCCAAGTCCTCAAGGGTTTAGGGGTTTAAGGGGTTTAGGGGTTTAGGAGTTTAGGGGTTTGGGGTTTAGGGTGGGGGGGTTTAGGGTTTAAGCTTAGGGCTGTTGGGCTTCATATCTTAGGTTCCCTTTATACTAACAGTCCTCAATTGGGATTAAAGTACCCCCTGTTACAATCGCTATCAAGGACTGTCAGGAATTATAAGGGGGAACATCCCAACCCATGAGACGATAAGAGGGTGGCTTTCGGGTTTGGAGTTTGGGCCCCCTAAACCCTAAACTGTTTGGGGCTTTTGGTGGGCATCGTCCTGAGGGCGCATCCAATTTCTTTGGGCGTGCTCTGGGGGTTTAGGGTTCGGGTCTTGACTTGAAGCCAAGAAGTCAGCACACTTCGCTCTGTTCGAGAGTACAATCCCTGCAGATGCTCCCGTAAGGGTGTTTTTCATGTCCCCTGACATCTCAAAACCCCCCAAACCCATAAGATCTTAAACCTAGACCCTAAACCCCTAACCGCCAAATCCTAAACCCAGACGCCTAGACCCCAAAACGCCGCAACCCTACCCCTAGGGTTTAGGGTGTACCCCAAATCCCCCAAATCCCCAGGAAACTGCTCCCAGACCCCCGCTCGCGCAGCCGCAGGAGCGTAGCACCTGCCCAGCGGAGGTGAGAGTCCTGGCGTGCCGTCGGTTTTGGGGTTTAGGGTTTAGGGTTCAGGGTTCAGGGTTTAGGGTTTAAGATTTAGGGCTAGGGTCTGGGGTTTAGGGTTTCGATGTTTGCGTTAGGGCTTTATGGGTCTAAGGGTTTTAGGGCTTATAGGGTTCCGGTTTCTAGGGTTGCTAGGGATTCTAGGGCTTCTTGAGATCAAAGGGTTTTGTAGGGCGTTTGAGGTTTTATGACGTTTTTCAAAGGGCATCCTCAAGGAATTTAGAGGGTGTTGTAGACTTGATCATATAGACTGTCAGGTTTACAGGGCTGAGGGGCCATGTAGCCATAGGACGTGGAGCAGTCCATCTTGGAGACGAAGCTGGATGCTTGTCCTGCTGACGTATAACTCCCTGGTGCTTCGTAGGGATTGAGGGGACTAGAGCCCTATATTTCCCTAAACCCTAAACCCCAACCCTTCAAGGGAGTACATGGGTACCTCATTCCCTTTTTCCCTAGTAAGAAACAGATAAGGCCGTGGGCAAGCATAGGTATAGGGCTGCCCTGCCCTTCCTCTGGGCCGTGGCGAGGGTTTAGGGTTTAGGGTTTAGGGTTTAGGGTTTAGGGTTTGGGGTTTGGGGTTTGGGGTTTGGGGTTTGGGGTTTGGGGTTTGGGGTTTGGGGTTTGGGGTTTGGGGTTTGGGGTTTGGGGTGTAGGGTTTTAGGGTTTTAGGGTTTTAGGGTTTAGGGTTCAGGGTTCAGGGTTCAGGGTTCAAGGTTCAGGGTTTAGGGTTTAGGGTTTAGGCTTTAGGCTTTAGGCTTTAGGCTTTAGGGTTTAGGGTTTAGGGTACCTGTACTTGTAACTGTACTTATAACCATATTAGGGCACTTCTGGGGCTTATAGGTGGGTTATCAGTACATGTTATAATTGGTAACTAAGTACCATGAAGCTCCAAGTGGTTGTTGCCGACTTCCAGTGCCAGTTCCGGGCCGTCAGCAGCATTCCGAAAGGAAGCTCACGGTTTCTGGAATCCAAGCGCTTTGGCAAAGACCTGCTCCAAGATGTACAACGATAAGGCATTGTCTGCCCCCTCTGAAGAAGTTGATGAGAACTTCTAACCCTAAACCCTAAACCCTAAACCCTAAACCCTAAACCCTAAACCCTAAACCCTAAACCCTAAACCCTCGCAACACCAGAGCCTTCCGCCTCTCAAGGTCCCTAGTTTAAGGGCTAGGATGTGGGAGTATGGGGGGGGGGGGGGGTGTATGGGGGTCCGATGATGCAAAACGGGCTTATGGGGTTTTTCGGGGGCTTTCACTGTTTCTCGGGCTCAGGGTTGACATGCGGCGTATCGATGGTCATGGGGTTTACAGTTTGGAGGGCCCTTAAACCCTAAGCTCTAAACCCTAAACCCTACACCCTAGACCCTAAACCCTCAACCCCCCTAAGGTGTGTAGGGCTTTTGTGGCTTATAGCGTTTAGGGCAGGTTGCTTGCCTTCGGGTCTAAATGAAACCCAAAAGGGTCTATGGTCCATTTACCAGAATTCTAGCATAGGGTATGTGACCTAATCTTTCCCTAAACCCTAAACCCTAGACCTAGACCCTAAACTAAGTAGACCCAACTCAGGGTTTAGGGTTCAGGGTGTAGGGTTTAGGTTTAGAGGTCCATGCCCCTCTCTCGGGGTTGAGGGTTTAGGATTTAGGGTTGTGAGTTGTGAGGGTTTGGGGCATCTCTAGGTAGCGTTTTTTCGACAAGCCTCGACAGGAATTTCCTGGTCGTCGAGATCAAGTCCAACCTGCTTCCTGCCGAACGCAAGGAGCGTTTCCAAAAACCAAACCCCCAAAAAGCCCTTCAAACCTGAAAAACTCAACCCCCCTAACCCCCTCACCCCTAACCGGCCCTAACCGGCCTCAACCGGCCTCAACCGGCACTCACCCCCCCCCCCCCCCACCCCTCACCCCCTAACCCCCCTCGCACACCCCTCCCTCCCCCCCCTTGAGCCCCCCCCCCCTAACCCCCCCCCTACCCCTCCCTAACCCCCCTCAACCCTCGAACCAGGAGCTGCTGGCCCGTTTTGGCGGTCCCCACTTCCGAAGAGTGGCGCAGGCGCGGGATTATTAGGGCTTCAAGTTTAGGATTTAGGGATTAAAGGAGGGACCCTTATAAGAGACCTTCAGGGTGATTTAGGGGCTAATTACTCAGGTTGTTAGGGATTAGAATTCAGAACAATGGGCCGATACACTCTTAAAATTCCTGAAGCCTGGGTTCGTAGGTCATGGTTATTAGTTATGGTTCCAGCTATGTTTAGGGTTTAGGGCTTTGGGCTTAGGGTTTAGGGTTTAGGGCTTAGGGTTTCCCCTGACTTTCTGGGCGGCGGGATTCGTTTCGATAAGCACACCTCTTGGAAGGAGCTGTTTTTGGTGGCGAGAAAAGAAACCCAAGAGCTGCTCTTCCGAACCCAAGAAGAATTGGAAGCACCAAAAAGGCACTAAAACCGCATAAACGCCTTAACCTGGAAGCTCAAAATTCTTAAGCCGCTGGCTTTGCCCAACCAAACCCTAAACCCGAAGTCCGCATGACCGATTGCATACACCGTAAACCCTAAGCCCTCAACCCTACACCCTAAGCCCTAAACCCTAAACCCTACACCCTACACTCTAAACCCTAAACCCTAAATCCTAAACCCTAAGCCCTAAACCCTAAACCCTAAACCCTAAACACCCAAACCCTAAACCCTAGCCTATTTCTAAGACTGAGAAGCCGCTGCAGGTCATGGCCGGGGATCCCACCGCCGACTTCAAGAAGCGGACACAGGATGGGGTGCCGTGAAGAAGTGTGTGCTTATGGTTTAGGGTATAGGGCTTAGGGGTTTTGGGGTTTTGGGGTTTAGGGTATCGGGTTTAGGGTGTAGGGTTTAGGGCTCTATTTTCAGGATCCCTTATCCTCGTAAACCCCCAAGTCTTCAGGATTTGGGTTTTGGGGTTTCGGGTTTAGGGTCAGTGTAGGATCCTATTTTTGGGGGTTTGGGGGTAAATTTAGGGGTTTGGGTGTAGGTAGGGCTCGTTTAGGGTCAGTGTAGGATCCTTTTTTTTTTTTGTTGTTGGGGGGGGGGGGGGGGGTTAGGGCGTTAGGGGTTTTGGTGGGTAGGTAGGCTGTGGGAGCCTTTCAAGTGAATCGTGTGGGTGTAGTGTTCGGGGTTTGGATTTCGGGGTATCCAGGGATTCAAACTCGTACCCCAAAGGTTCGCCTCACTATATCCAAAATATGGCCCTTCTATTCCCTTAGGGATCCTTCAAAAGGGAACCCCTAGAGGGTAGAGTTTAGAAAGTTTCTTTGCGTGGCCCTTTTTGGAGCGGGGTCGATCGTAAAAGTGTGTTTCTTATCCGGTCCTGCACATGCAATGCCAAGGGCTCAAGGTTTTTGAGGCTTCAGGTTTTTGAGGCTTCACTGCTAGGTAGGCCCTTGGGACATTTTGGATGTTCCCTTGTAGGGGTTTAAGGGGGTCATATCTGGGAATATTAACCCTAAACCCTAAACCCTGAACCCTAAACTCTAAGAATCTTTTCCAGAGGGTTTTTCAGGGCCATCCGAGACTGCGTGAACTGGAGGAGCTCCTCTTGAAGCAGAAGCAAGAGAAGGCATTGGAAGTCGTTTTTTCAGGGCATAAACCGTAAGGGTCCATGTACCTAAATGGGGAATACTTGGGCCTTAAAGTACCTCCTATTTATGGACTTTGGGTCCCAAGTACATCATAGTGGGTACATGGACCCTGAGGGTAAACCCTTATCTCTAAATCCTGAACCCTAAACTCTGGCAGCTTTGCAGGGGTTTGGGTTCTGAGGTTTGGAGATGGTCCGTTCTCGTTCCCGGAATTCGGAGCAGGCATGTGGGGTAGATGATCCCGATTGCCGCGCAATCTCCCTAAAGCCTAAACCCCGAGCCCCAACTCCGAAACCCAACCCCACACCCCAACCCCAAGCCCTAAACCCTACATGTTGAGGGCTCGGGGATTTGGAGCTTGTTCCAAGACCAGGTGAACGCAGAGTTTGAGCTGCAGCAGGCTCGCAGCTGCATTTGATGAACCCTAAATCCTAAACCCTAGAATTCGGGACTATGTACTACAAAGAGCCCAGCTAGGGAAGAGGACCTGTCTATCGACTCTACTCAGAGTCCCGAGGTTCATGACGACGCATACCTAAGTTAGAGGAATAATGCCCTAAGGCTCCAAGGACCCTCCTACAGAGGGACTGGTACCTGCTAGGAAGGGATCTGGGGTCTCAATTTTGCGGGCCCACGAGCATTGGGTGGTAGTTCTCTAAGTTAGGATCCCTTGTCCCCTTTCCCTCAGGGTCCGTGTGCCTAAAGAGAGTAGACTTGAGCCTTAACGTACCTCCTACGTAAGGAGTTTGGGGCCCAAGTTTTTTTCAATAAGGGTCTCGGTGAGCAGGTCACAGGAGGGTCTAGGGGTTTGGGGTAATTACCAGGGTCCACTCGAAAAAAGAATGCTTGCGCCCCCGAAGAATCAACATGGCTGTTGCTCAGACTCACTCCTATCAGCAGCCGACTCACGATCTGTACGCGGGTTAGGGGTGTAGCAGGGCTTCGGAATATACAGCCATCAACGCAACACGCAGAATCTCCGAAACTAGGACCCAGTGGTGGCCTTCTTTCATTAAGTGCTGGGGAACCAGAAGCCCGAGTAAACCCTAAACCCTACACCCTAAACCTTGTACAAGCATGGCCTGCGGCTCCAAGCTTAGGCGGAGGAAGTGCGAAAGCACTTGGCCGAGAAGAAAGAGAAGGCGGGGGTTTCGGATTTTGTGGTTTGTGGTCCGGGGCTACTTGCTTAAGAACCAAAAGTTCAGGATATATTCCCTTTGTATTGCCCTTGGAAGGAAGAAAATATTTTTTTTTGGGGTGTTCTGCCCTAAGGTTCCAAAAACCCTCCCATAGATGGACTGGTACCTCCTGAAGGGATCTGGTGTCTCTGAGGGTACATCCATATGGTCCCTAACCTCCTACAAAGGGTTCTGATGTATGGGCCCTTAATGAATTTGTATAGGGTATATAAGGGCTATATACGGGGTACCCGTTTACGGGCCCATATTCAGGGACCATGTACCTACCCTAAGCCTCAATTCCTGCGGTTTTGATGAGGGCCCACGAGCCTTGGGGTCGGGTGCAACCTTTCGGACAAAACCGGCCCTCAACGGGCCCAATATAGGGGTCGGAATAGTTAGTAAGATTATCCACCTATGGTCCCATTATAGTTATACTGTAATAACCCTCCAAAACCCTATTCCTAAACCCTAAACCCTAAACCCTAAACCCCTAATTATTCAGGCTCCTACATGATGGCCCACGGAAAGCTTTGATCCCGAATCTACGTTTCACGTCGTCCGGGGAG